ACTCTCTGTTCTCGTTCACTTCGATCCGATCTTTCTAACCTTCGCTGCCAGGCATCCCACCTTTGATCGGTCCTATATACTACATACATCGACAGACATAAGTAGCATACACCACAGTATGGGCTGATTTTATCTTAATAGAACGATTTTAATAGTTGTATCTACGATAACCACAACAAGGAATAAAAACAGAGATTGCTTCTTGTTCGGCTTAGGCATCTGGTAACCAGAGTAACGCTTTGATTAACTATAATTCAACAAACCTGACTTATGTACTTTTGTTAGTGTAGAGGGATTTAAGGAAATCGTAGAATTTTCACAGTTTAGATCACGAACTGATTTTAGCTAGACTGCTAATGAAAACCTGGAAGCACTAGACGACCGTTTCTTCTTTGCATGGAACTTCTCAGAAGTGCACATCCACTACTCCGCACCTTGAAATCAGATACAGGGTCAAGTGGTCTGGCTTAATCTTTAGAATTTTACTTACAAAAGTAGCAACCAGAGGGAGATCTTTTTTACTAAGCTATTTTTAAATCACACTCTCGTTATTAAAAATTAGTTGCAATAAACTGTTTTGGTATTTATATACACTTTTTATCTGAATGGTTTATTCATCGCTAGCTCCTGTATTAATTTGTATGTAAATTTTCTGCCCACAGTATTCTCCAGTAGCTCAGAAGCTCTGATAGGTTTAGTCTATTTTTCAGAAAAATGGTTAAATATTTGAAATACTATCACATGCAAATATAGATGTATAGACTACTTAACTAATGTTTATAAATTTTATCATAACCATAACCAATGATACTTTTGTGTCGATTATGTACTTTAAACTGATATGTATTTTGTATATAACAGGGTTGTTTGAATCATTAGCGAACTGTCAAGCACATAGATTGTTATGTGAAAAAAATAACGACAAATGGATATGCATATAAATACACCAGTGACTGATGCACGTCATTAGTATTACCATAATCGTTGCGAAAATTATGTAAAACATTCAGCCTATTACGTGATTTCCGTTCAGAGTATGAACGTGATTTTGTTCAATAATGATTAAATTCTCAAACATGCTTTGTGTGAGGTTAGTGACAAATAATTACCTTTGAGTGTTTATAATAATAATATTAATATCATGATTATCAGACTGTATAATCAACACTATAGTTAAAATGAACTAAATATATTCCTAATAACATACTTTATATTATAAATAGACAATATACAAATCACTATCCAATTTTTCTATCACGTCATAAATTCTAGCAAAAAAATAGACTATGGGAACAACGCCACTTGTTTAAAGCATATTTTTAGTGACATTAGCCAGTTCTTTTCATAGATTATTCAGTTGGTGTAATTTAAATCTTGATACAGACTCTCCGAATATATGTAGGACGCGGAAAGTATACGGCATAATGAGTTCAATACTTTTCACTTTGTTAACATACTGACAGAAGGTAAACGATAAAACAAAATGATAATTTATTTATCAAAATCTGATTTTATTTACTTTCAAAGTCGACATCATATATCCATATAAAAGGCTGATTGATTATCTGAGGCAACAAAATAGTATATAAATACTGTAGCGGAAATAAAGTTTCAGACACGTAAATAAGAGGTTACTGGAGTGAATCTTATTTTAAGGTAAGATACTTTGAACTTAAGTCATTGTTTGTGTATGAACAAGAAGATCTGTCAAAAAGTCTGATGACTGCATAGGCAGGTAATTTTCGATTGAAATGAGAGTAGTTATCAGAGTAGCTTGTGTGATGTAACCCTATCAGTTTCTTACTCAGTGATCACATAACAATTAAACAGAACAATCACACTTTATTAATCTATTCAATCCAATCGATCAAAATCGGAACGTGATCTCTAATCTGTTTCAGATCTTCTCACTCAGTTAACCGATTTATTAAATTATTCGGTCTGTGTGTCTTGCATTGACTTGAATTATATCAGCAGATCCCTGTGATCTCATCTAAGTGTATAACATATAGTTTGTGTCTTTAGGTTAAATATATGTTGAATAGCACCCTCCACGACCTTAAAAATGTAAAATTGCTATTTAAAAAATGAGAACGACGAATAACTCTGATAATCCATTTGATCGGGCTGAGAAAAGTTATACCAACTACCAAGAGTAGAATTTCGGCATTTTTTACGGAGAACTGTAGCTATTTAATTTAGTTACTTTAGTAGTTCTAACTCGCACATCCGAAAATACCATTGTAGATACTACGATTAATTAGGTATCATTCGACTTCATGCCTATATTCAAGACTAGTCACGAGTTTTTATGCCAAATTAAAATATGACTTAAAATTAAGGATAAGAATACAAACAATAAAAGTATAATAATAAAGTGAAACTGATCATGGCGATTTTTTTGGAAACGATGATAATTAACCCCTTCTAGACAGTCCAGTCGATAGAATTAAAGTTATGCATCATACTTATAGTATGAATATGCAGTACATTTACCTGATGAATTGTTCGTTAATTTTTTCTTCTGCAGTGATATAATTCACTATTTCATAATAATGTCTTAAGATATGTATCTCTAAATGTTGACAAAGTTAACGGAATAACTGCGTAAGCGATTAATTTGAAGTATGGAAATGCCAAGTATTATCCATAAATTATTTTTGATTGAAATTTCAAAGGTGTAAAATAAATAAGTTGGTGAATCCGTTGTATTATGTGTCACATTTAAATAATGGAATACAACTTCTAGATAGCTACTATAATAATAACAAAAGGTAGCTAACATATCGATTTATGCTTATCTCATCATTACTAACAAAAAATAAAAAAATGTTTTTCACCACTTGACGACTAATGACTGATATTTTCAAATACATCATGGTAAGCGATCACTTCATCATTCCTACTGATATGTACAAATAGAAAACTGAAACCAATGGCGATATTTCTAATTATAATAATTCCCAGACCCGGTGTTTTATAGTCTAGCATACTTCCCCACTATTTATTATGCAAACTAGAGATATTAAAGTTTCCCCCGAACCATAATGAAAGTCTAAGCCTTTGAGTCAAAGATTCCACCTAACTTCAGACAAAACTTTTTATGAAATAGCTATCAAAGATTACCTCATTTAAGTTACTGACAAAAACTAAATTTTATTTAGGACTTACTTTGGTGCAATCAAAGTATCTATAAAAACCACTTGTGGTTATCTGTTGATAACGTAATGAATCAGCAATCAAACCAGTTTAGTTTCTATGGAGAAGTAATCTGAATTGTGAAAATTTCTTCATTAAATTGGTAATAATATTTGAATATATTTCTTGAACTTGAAAGCAACTCAGTTTAAACATTGTAAATAAATGAATAAAATGTTTTATAAACAATTCAGGCATTACAAAACCTGTTTTTCATCGGAAACTGACAAACTGAACTAACAAAATGGCTTACTTATCGTGATAAAGATTGTACATAAGAGCAGCTGGCATCTTAATTGTCCATCTGGAAATTCCAACATCTGTAGGACCAGCTTCCAGAACCAGAACTTTGCTAGAATTTTTTGTTTTAGGGTGTGGTAAACTTAAACGATTGGCCAAAACACATCCAGCTGAACCAGCTCCAATTATAATGTACTCATATGAATTCTTAACGTCATTGGATTTTACTATCGGCATTTTATGATTAGTTACGCTACATGATGTCTTAAACAGACGTTTTGTGATATTATTATGATAATATTGGTGCTTTATAAGTTCATAATATTTTAGATAATGTCCTTGCTCCAGAACTGAGTTTAAGTAATTCATGAAGAACGAAAACAATTATCTACAGTCAAGAAAACAGAAAGGATACTCTTATTAGATTTATTTGTCAGCTGGGAAGTATAAGCATTTTTCCATTGAGTAGTTAAATCTATTTGTTCTAACAAAGTTCTATGAAAGATATTTGAGTATAATTAAATAATGTGAGATAAAGTACACACATTCATATAACGAATCGTTAGATAAATCCTACATCTGTTTGTAAAATATTTGTAACATAATAATACTCCTAATTAAAGTGCATCATAGTAAGACATTAAATGAGATGACATTAAAGCTCATAGAGAAATAATCTATAAATGATATCCATATATTGGTTAAAAAAAACTAAATAACATATCACATCCTCATTAGCATTAAAATTTTTAGCTTACAAAGTAGTATCATGATTTTCGATTGATTCAAGGTTTACTGGATAATTCATATTAACAAAAGAAATAAAGAATTTATTCGTTTTATTATTTAGTGATTAGCGGTCGATTGAAAATTAACATTTTTCTTATTTGAATATTATATTAAAACACCTATGGAGTTATTAAATAACTAAAACCTTTTAGATTATATTTCATTTCAAGTCTAGAGCTTTAATAAGCTCTATTCCTTAGATGCTAGTCAGGAAACCTACGGATTAAAATACAAGGCAGAAGTTTTAACAGGTTTTCAATTTCATTTCATCATTACGTTATAAACACGAGTTATACCCAAGTTACTGACAAGTGACTATCCTTAAAATACCATATCAACCACCTAGCCAGTTTATTTGATATCCAATGTTACTGAATAATGGAGACGAGTGAACACTGCATGGCAGTTGATAAAAAGCATACTAAGAAATATTGAGTTTCAGCAGACAATCCATCAAACATATTCAAATTTACAAAAAGGGATTTTAGGTAAAATACTTTTATTAGCATCAATCAACTTCATGTCTAAATTATCCATAACAACCGCCATCGGGAATAATTGAAGAAAAAATATTTTAAGGAAGATATTTCGGAAGAAAGAATTATAGGATAAGTTTACATCTCTTGTGGTATAAAGTAAAGAGGAAATGAAAATCAGAATTGACTACAATTTCTATGAAATAGTGATGACTTTAAAAAATATATGACTAAACGAATTGATTGATTTTGTATTATCCTTTTGTGCATTATTTTATTTCTTTCCTTTAACTACCTTTAATCAATGAATAGATCGGGGAGATGAGATAAGTTTGGTAAAATTAGGTCTGAGTAGGGGATTAGATCGGTTGCTGATGAAAATCCAGACAACAGTCCAACAGTAAGACCAACCTTGGCTGACCGACCAGAGATTACGTCTGCAGGTGTATCACCGACAATGACTGTTTCTTCAGGTTTACACTACAATAAGAATAAAAGAGTATCTTTAGTACACTAATGGGCATTCAAATTGTTGAAAACACGATGAAGGCAAAATATATAAAAAGTACCATCAATCTGTTTTGTTTTCATGCCATGTATGATCAGTGACTATAAATAACCAATCTTAAACAATGAATTTCATAGTTTGGTAGACCGTGATCAGCAGAAATTAAATTTTAGGGAAATGTCTTGTTTTTCACCCGATGAGATTTAATTTCTCGTTTTAGTTGAGGGTATTTTAAGTCTAAGAAATTTAAAGTGAAATAAATGCACATCATGTAAAGTTCATTGATTTTGAAAATTCTTCTTTCTAAACACCTTTCGTTTAGGACACCATATCAACTTCTCTCCAAAGTTATTATATTATACTTTTACACATAATTTATCTTCACAGAAGTTACTCTTTTAAAGTGCGATCTCTATTCTAGTTAATAACTTTATTTCGAATCTCCAAGACACTAGGCTATTCACACAAACGTGTAAATTCATAGATGGTATGTTTGTTATGACCTTGGAAGGAAATGTGCGAGCTTTCACCATCTTTGAGCTGATCGACTTATTAAAATGCTGTTATAAAGGAAAATCAACATTTAATAATAATGACGTTCAGTTATGATCACAAAGGTATGAATTAAAGTAAATGAAATATGGCTCTGTCTAAGAGATGAAATACATTCAAGGTGGTCACAAAGAACATTGACTTCGAACAGTTTCTATAAATTCACTATTTTACTATCAGACGAACGATAGTGATGGTAATATTAATATAACTCTGACATGCGAGAACACATAGTGATGAGTTTTAAATAATTTATACAAAATCTAAAACAGTAAAATGAAAAATCTCTTACTCCAGCTTTGTCAATAATTTGAATCACAGTATGTGGCAAAGGTTTTGGATGACAACCGGCATCTTCTGCTGACATCGTAGTATCTATGTAGTCGTACAATTTTACGCTCAACAAGAAATCGTCGCAGGCTTTTCGACTGTCCGAGCTATTTATAGCTACTCGTAGACCGATTTCCCGGAGTTTTTTAACCGTTTCAATTGTATCTGATATAGTTATACCAGGTATAGAGCTTGGACAGACCCATATCTAAAATTATATAACACGTGAATTAAAACAAAATGAACAACAACTTACACAGAAAATAAATTAACAAGAGTGTAGTAAGCAATGCTTGAATTTCATCAATCGCTGCGTTTCTCAGTAACATTATTTCGAGCTGCAGGACGGCTGAGTTGAAATATGATGCGACTATATACGAGGAAGGGTTGAGGAGTAGCTTACCAAAGAAATAAAAAAAGTGCTCTACATCAATCAGATGTTGAGTTTTTTTCTTTTTTGAAGTTTAAGTCCCCCCTGAAAGAGCCGAAAAAATATGCTAGTTGGTTTTTTCGAAGGATAATCATTACCCTAAAAGTAGTGGTATAGTACCTTTCAATCGACTTTTATAGAAAGATAACAGTTCGGTTAACTTCTATTGTTCGTCTAAGTACTCGGAGTAGTTGCTCCTACTGAAAAATACTGTCAAATTTGTCAAATTTGTCAAATTTGTTATTCATAAACATAGCTGACCAGGAACAAGCCAGATTACCACAAAGCACATCAAAACAAAGATGGAAATTCGGCGTAACAAAAAGTATTTAAAATAATAATAATAATATTATCTACAGAAGTCGTAAAATATGCAACACATATTAAGGATAGCTACTCACAATGGCACTCTTCAAAAACTCTCTTTCAGTCTCTACATCTGTATTTAAATAATTTATTAGGATTAATACAAGTGCTTAGATGCTAAACAGAATTGTGGGAAAAGACATATTTAGTCACTTCCATGGATATCTCATAACGACATGCAGACAAAAGTACTTTGTAAATTTTAAGTGTATTTTATTAGGGAAAGTTCTGGTCATTCCAAAATATCCGTTGAAATATAAACCAGTCTACCTTCTAGAAACGACGCAGGACCTGATGAAAACATGAATCGTCCCAGCTTGCGACACTTTTATCAGTATGGTGAAATGAAATCAATTAGTTGAAACTAAAGGCATCAGAAATGAAAATATCGCTTACAGTTCAAAAAGCTGACTCAAAGAATATATCCACACTAAACCTGACAAAATGTAAGGGCAGCAGGTACATGAAAATTTTAAACAGTAAACGAAGAATGAATTCATCCTGGTTCTTGCCAACAATTTTGTTGAACTCTACTCTCGGACATCAGCTGCTAACTACAGCTCCAACAAAGATCTTAACTAGAAGGAGTGAACCTTGTGATAAGCCCCAACACAACAACCAGTGACTTTGTGGGATGATGCTCTATCTCTGTTTCGCACTCACCAATCTTCTTCTACCCTGCGCCATTATAGTCCGTTGTATTAAGTGGTTGTTAGGTATAAGAACACGAATCCCTAGCATCTCATTCGATAAAAACCTATAACTTGATTTACAAATGTGATACCCTTATCTAATATCTGGCAATTAATTTTAGCATTATTTACTTTGTTGGTTCACCATACGTAAGGGCCCTATAGACATAATGTATAGCAGACAATTCTTAATAGACAAACTAAAATCTAACCTGGGCCTTGGTGGAATTTGATAGAAACTGAACTGGTATTTTGTATCTTTGGTGAAATTTTGTCAATTAGTGAGACAACTATTTCACATGGTAAACTTATGAAGACGTATGTTATGTTAAAACATGATTTGATAACATTTTGTTTAAAGTTAGGATACAAGTTTGAAACCTAACATCACCAGTTATTTTATTGTAATCTCCTACCTTACATATTATTAAATATATTTGGTGACCATGACTTACCTGATTTACTATCTCATCAGACTCCTTGACTCCGTAACCTTTCAGTATGAGCAAGTGCCGTAGACACTCTTCAATAAACACCATAGATCCTTCAGATAAAATACCATTAGATATTTTACGTGTTTCGAAAGAGTAACCCAGTATGTTTGAAAATGTACATGCTAGATCAGGAGACACTTTTTCTCCTAATCTGTAAGATGTTAAGAGCAAAATAATTTAAGGTTATCAACATTAACTTATTGTGCAACAAACAGTGAAAACTATTTTTTGAAGATTTTCAGGATTGCTGTTCATTGTTTTCTCATAATTTAACTTTAACTTGAATCAACTCAAAATGTCTTTAATCTCAGAAGAAAAAGAAAAGGAGGTTTAGAAAAACAAAAAACTTTATTCTACAAAAGATTTTAACTAGGAACCTCTGCATTGACATATTCAGGAAGGAGAAATCTATGGGTTAAATTTGACTGAGATTATTTACTAAGAATAGTTGTAAGAAAGTACTTTAAACCATAACGTTCAAATGAACTCTTAATGCCGTAAAGACAAATTAAATGCTATCCGGTTATGTCACACTATCTTATAAAGCTGCATTTCTAGTCACCGAACTTAGTTGCTCCAAAATACTTACAGTGGGAAAGCAATTAACTCCCTGGAGAATTGAGTTACGGTAAAAAATATATATAAAAATCATCTAAAGTAAGGGAAGTTAGAAAGGCTATGAAGTGTTTTTTTCTAAGATTCATCTACAAAAGTGGTCTATATTGTTCACTGGCTCGTCTCCTAAACACCTCCAATTCAAAGCAATCCACAACCAGAAGTCTCATCTTTGCACTCAAAAGACGTTCGTAAAGTGTCTTTCTCTACCTGGCCCATCTACGTAGAGCACTTGAGAGCGAGTAAGTCAACGCTCACAAATTTTCTAAGATTTTCGTTACTGTTAGTGTTCCTACTTAATTTCAATATTTATCGATTATTAGTTTATTCCACGATTGTGGTGTATGCTACTTATATTGACAGACATAAGTAGTATGCAACAGTAATCGAAAGTGGAAAACCTGCAAGCAGAAGGTTGGGATGATCGAAAGAATAGAAAGAGAACAGAGAGTGATTGTTGTATCAATGAAGGAACAACAAAGTTTGAGAGAACTGATGGAGAATTAGCAAATGAAGTATTAAAAGTATGGTTTTCACATTTGATGAAAAGATTCTGTAATTTTATATAATATATTTTGGTTGTCCTCACCTGTGTTCTCGATCATTAAAACATTACTAAATGACCGAGCGATAATTTCTGCTTTGTTCATAAAGCAAAAATTGTATTTTAACTGTACATGATGTTAAAGTATGATACCATATAAGATGGCAAAATTAATAATATTTAACAACTCTTTTATGATGTCGAAATACTAAACACAGTCAAAAACAAACCTCTAGGAGTCAGGTGAATGAAATGTGATTAGATTTTACCAGATTTATACCAGATTCAAATAATATCTGGTGACTATTACGATATTCAGATATGCTAGATTAAAACTATTTTTTATATCAACCCACTGATGACAGAATATTACCCACTAACGCAATCATGTGAAATGAGCATTTTTTATGTATTGTTGTCAGTACAACCAATTTGACGAACAGGTGTGTGTAATCTCGACAAACATGTGCATCATCACATTATTTGTTTGACAGGATGTGTGAATCGTTAATCAGTAATAAATGGCCGGACATTAGATTGTAAATTAAAACCGGTTTTTTTTAGTACTTTTCCTAATCTTAAGTAAAAGTAGGTACCGTAATGAACATAGAACTTATTTATCCAATTTCAGAGGGCTTGTGAAAACAATGCGCCTAGCCTTAACTAACAAGTTATGAGTAGGAAGAAAAACTGTTTGGCGCGCTAATACCTCACTAACAATAATTATGACATTCAAACAAATGTGTGGATATTTTAGCATCCAACGGTATCTGGTTCATTATGTTTAGAGACATACGGTGATCTTCCTCTACGAAATATTGTGACCATTTAATTTTAATTTAAAGGAGGTATTTGTCTAGGATTGACCTTATTTCGAGACAGCTATTTCATTTTAATATGAAAATCAGTAGTGTGAACAAAATGGTTTGTTGTGGATGGATTACTGTAATAGGTAGAGGAAAACAGCCGTCTTTTTGAGCATATCTTCCATTTGTTTCCAAAGATTTAGATTTTTTCTACATGTACAAATATCTACATTCAGTTTGTATAAAATTTGTACATTCTTAATACCATTTCTCAGCTGATTATTTGCTAAATTCTAACATCACTATAGATCACGAGTGTTTTACGTCTATGTTGTCACACTTACTGTCAAAATATTGTTGGTTTTTTACCACAACCTGAAGATCCATATTGATTATCGTTTAATCATCCCAAAATAGTCAGATTTTACTGTTAAAACCAAGATAGAAAACGTCCGGCAAAACCACTGAATATTTAATTGTTTATTAGGTGAAACTATGCTACTCATTGCAATGTTAATGTTAATCATTTTTATTCCATAATCCCACACAATTATCTGGCCTTGAGTATAGATAAAAATGTGAAGATGCATGAGCTTTGGGTACATTTTAGAAAATGACATACAAATATTGGAATAATCGAACTAAAAACTATATAATGACTACTGCTAATTATCCAGGGTCAGACAACCTGTAAAACGATGACAGTTTAACTTATTTGATGGTTATATCTCGTAAAAACAAAAGATACAATATTAAAGAAAGCATAATATGCATTTAATTTCCTGTGCAGTTGATATTCATATCACTAACAGTATAGACCCGATCATGTTCGTTCCAGTGTTTTGATAGCACAAGAAACAATAACAACACTTCCTATCTCAATGGTTCTTCGGAATTTATATAATATACCACAGACAATGACTTACCTCATGCAAACTTTCTCGCACCATTCAGCCCAACGGGGATGTACGTTGATAAAACTCCCATCTTTGTCAATAATAACCAGTTTAAACTTTTGATTTGACAGCTTTTGATATAACCTGTTTTTACTAAGTAAAACCTGTCTGATCGGTTGATTGAGATCAGGCAGTACGAGTGGCAATATATGGCCCACAGATGGTACAATATGTAATTTAGATTTTAAATTGTATGATTTAGATCCATTTAAATTGTTTTTGCCCTCAATTTCAGAATACTTATGCCAAGTTGCTTCCAAACCACTTTGTTGACCGATCCCACTTAAAACACCAATACACAAACCTAGATTAGCATTCTTTGAGTAAAATGTTGAAAAAATAACTATGACTTCTCACATATTTCGAAGTATTTAGCAAAAATGATATATTATACTGTGAAAGGTACATGGGCTATACTTAGAAGTTTAGAGATATCTAACATCTGTCTGATCAAATCGTACAACAGTTGTTTTATTAATAACGTTTGTGAGTTTAGTATTAAACTGACACCCTTTATCTTTCTAGCAGCTAGCTAACAAACATTTAGGAGTTGGGTTTGTGGGAACTTTCTTTACTTTTTATTGAATATTAACCAGACCCGTAATAATAAAATCGGCTTATCTGCGAACAGAACAAATTTGTGCTATTAAAAACTAAAAATACGAAAATCAAGTAGTCCTAACAGTACACTGCTTATTTTTGTCAGAATCAAATTGTTCCAGATGAAAATTGACCAGGCAGATAGTGGTCAACCATTTTCAGTTTCACCTAAGTTTTCTGGGTTGCATTTTATAATATTGCTTAACATGTAAACTGACTTGTTTTCAAACCATAACTTACTTTTGCGAAAGCAATATCCGTCGAGGTATCTCCTACCATAACCGTTTCTTCAGGTGATACATGAAGTTTTTCACATATGAATTTCGCGTTATCTGGATGAGGTTTTGGAGGTCTATCAGGGTCATCACCGCAAACAATGACATCTAATAGGTGTAAAACACCTAAAACTTCCAGAGCTTGTATTGTCCCTGCAATTGTTCAAAAGTAAATCACATTAGTTTCTCCTAATCTAGACCACATATAAAATTTAACTGATGGTCTAGTAAGCCAGTTTTATTTTACTCTTGAAAGCCAAGAATTATCTGACGTATTATTTTTAAATACAGCTAAATATTGCCAAAAACTGTTGTCATTTATTTAGTTTTTAGCCTTTTAATTTACCACCATGATTCATGTAAAAGTTTTAGTTTCTTCCAATTTATACTGTCAAAACGTCTAACGTTTAAAATGACTAAAATATTGTGTATTCATAATTTTTACTAAGAAACGCAAACCCTGGCCGATGACTGTTTTCGTCAAACCTAATTTTAACGGTAGTTGTATTTCATACCAAAATTGTACAAAAACGCTTCCAGTTGTTTAGAAGCGAATAAATAGCCCACTAATATCATTATTTTAAAGTCATATCACCGTTATGTCAGTAGTTTTTAATTCTGCTGCTCTAAAATTATCTTTGTTGGTAAAATTATCATTAAATAGCTGAGACTTTGAACTGAGATTTCAAGGCTTACCGATACGGCGTTGTTTCAAATGTTTATTAATTTTAAGATTTTTGTCATAAATTATGCTGATATGCATGCGTTACGAAAAATATTTGATCGTTCATTACTTTAAAGTCACACTGACTGTTTTTCAGTAGGCTTACGTGCTTATGTCTTCATCAAACCAAAACCAACACGCTAAAATTATTTTCACTTGTTTTTTGTATCTTCAACTATACAATGGTTGACTCATTATTAGAACAGTTAATATCCATTGTTATGGGATCAACTTACCTTTGCGACTGTCGGATGTGCAAATAGCTGTCTTGATTGAGTGTTGTCTCAATGTAGTTATCATGCTTTTTATATCGGCCAACGGAACAACGTGCTCAGGTGAAAGTGATAACGCTTTTATATGTTTAAACACAGTGGACTGAGCCATGCTTTTTGTGACGCCATGGGAAACTAACAAGTTTGTTAGAGCAATTATTATTTGTTCTTCAGTACCTTCAGCTAAAACACCTTCAAAAAGGGCAGAATTAAAAGAGAAAACTGTAAACCTGGATTGATAATGTGATTTTTCGGGCAGCACCCAAGAGTAGTCAATATCTCAGAATTCATGTCCTGAGCTATGTCACTAGAAATGCTTTATCATTGCGGCATATAAATAAATATTCATGTAAAGACAGTACTTTTTTGCGATGGTTCTTGCCCAAGGCATCCACATTGAGTTAAAGCAAACAATAGTTCCATCTTTATCAAATATAACTGCCTTGTACAAGGGCTTTCTAGCTGAAACTAAAAACTCTGACGGATCTAGAAAAACACTTGGTCTAGCGGAACACTGTATAACGTTGAATGGTGCTTCAAATGTACACAAGCGAATTTTACAAACGGTCAAAACTTCATTGTACGGACATCGTTTATAGGCTCTTAGTAATACATTTACGGCTCTACTGAAAAGCATAATATCGAAAGCAATACTCTGTTGATGCAAAGTATTTCCTAGGTTTTAAATTGGAGGAATTATCATGTAGCGTCTGTAAAAAAAATATAAACTGAACACATTATAATCCAAACTAATTTTCACAAACCATTACAACATTGTTACACTCATCATTCCATTTAATAAATTCTCTGCACTTCAGGACACGAGACACGTGCGTGTGAATAACAATATTTTCATTTGAAAACGCAAACACCAGAACTGTTTTATAAGTTTGACAAAAACGCAAGGTCATATAACGTTACTTTGGTCGGTTAAAACAAAATATATTTTAAAGAAATGAATGGCTATGACATTACTTATATGAATTTACCAATTTGTTTAATTATTCATACCCAAAAGTCTGTTTTCAGGATAACTTATTCTTAGGGTACGGAATAAAAGATGGCTTGGAATTGACATTAAAACACTTTCATTTAAGCGACGTTCAGAGGTTTGACTCAAGGCGGCTACTTGATATTTGAAGACTCTCAGGTTTATGCCTAACACATCTCCTAGAGTAGGGCATACATATATAGGCTTTTTGATTTTGATAGTACGTTTTAGCAGTGAACTGGGGAGTTAACTAGTTTAATAGCAGTTTACAGAGTACGAACTACGATTACGAACGAGAAAAGCCATTTGTCTTTATCAAGTAACCTCTTCACCTAATATGATGTTGCTGACGGTAATGTATTTCAACCCTAAAATGCAAGCAGTCTTTAATATCAGAATCCTTCCACACAAAACCAGTATTCTGGTTCACACTGATTAATAAAGCATCTCCTCGTTAGTACTGTCATTCTAATTTGGTATCTGAAACGTATAACGATTTCAACGATAACACATATATTTCGACGGGAATACTTTAGGCTGGCTTTTGTTCCGTAGAGATGAACAATATGAACATAGGTACTCCCGATGCGAAACGTTTCATACCACGTAGTTGACTGTATATACCTTTTCCACTAGTACGTTTATTCAATGATTGGATTTCGTATCTATTGTTTTAGAAGTATGCGAATTAAAATTAAACACTTTTTGGAATCTCGAGAAGAAACCTATTGTACGTGAATTACGACTATCAGCTGTAGGCTTAGAAGTCTAAAATTTACTATGAACTTTATTCCACTGAACGTTCTGAAGCCAACAATTTGGAGTTTGTATGATGAAAACATTGTCCCAAGATAGAGACTGGATCTTAGATATATAACGATTGGTGATATCCGTTTACATGTTTGAATATTTAGATTTGTGAATGGATAATATAAAACCGGATAATAGAATCAACGTGAGCTGTTTGACAAAATAGCTCTTCTTGAACGGTTTTCAGAAGACAATTGATGTCGAAACCTTTTTTGTTAACTTTCATGGAAAATTACTGAATGCAACAATGCTTTGGGAATTACCATCATCAGAACCACGCTTCGCCACTTTAAACGAACTGAAGATTAAGTAGGTTGTGGACACTTGTAAATGTTTGTCATTTTTAGACCCCGAAATATGATAACTCGTTAACAGTGTATTTCTTAGGAAGCTATTTCTCTTGGTATCACTTCGGAAGTCAGGGCACCAGTTACTGGAGGAAGCGTGTATTGTTATTAATTATTGATATCCATAATAACACGACGAGAAAGCGAATCAGAAGGAGAAAGAGTAAAAGTGGACGAATTCGTGTGCATTTTATGTGCTGATCAATAAGCAGATGAAGTTATTGATTGTGTTTGTTCACAAAAATGAGACAAAAAATGAAGAATAAGATCCACATTCAACCATACTGAACTATTCGCATACATATAGCACCAAATGTCTAGATTGCAATAAGTAGGAAATAGAGATAACATAGGCTTATTTTGACCTCTTATTGTACAAATAAACTGGTAAGAGTTTACTACACACAAGTGAAACCGTGGTAATCGTAATTCACTGACGAGTGAGGACTGTACTTCTTAGGCTCCGCATCCCAGCGTAAAGTGCTCAATATAAAAAAATAGTGCGAGTTTAAAAAATTGCGAAACGGCCAGTGTGACATATGACATATTTTACCGAGTTGTTTGCACTCAGATGGTTATCTGTCCTTGCTATGCATATGCTCGATCTTTTAACCGTTTGAACGTGTGTCTGTTTGCATTAACAATTTATTCTTTGGATTGGAGTACGATACATTTTAACAAGTGTGAAATTAATTTCCTAAAGTTGTATAGGTTTAAAGTGTCTTTGTAAAACCTGACCATCCCTTTGGCTAGCGATCCACGAAGCGCCAGACAACAGAGTATGCGAAGACGAAAAAACCCTTAGCAATTGTTTAGAAATAAGAAGAAACTAAAAGGTGAAACCAACGTATCCAAGATTTCTAAAATCCCAATACTTTCTGTATATATTTATAAACAGTGAAAATGGTCCAACTGAGTCTGTTCAATCAGCAGGTGCTGGAAAATTAAGAGAGATCGGTTCAAGCTGCTAAGAAGTTGAGCAATCTTTTGTTACTTTATTCACAAGGCGAGTGGTCATACTTTTAAATGACAATAAATGCTTTTAGTTACGGGAATATCTTTTGTCGATAGTCAGCATACTGAATCAATAACAATATCATTTTTTATTCCTTCTCGATCGTTCTTTCACCATTAAATGCCAACCCTTTAGCGCGTCGAAAACAGTCATTTTTCAAATGAGTAAATCGGTATCATTGGTATTCTATAATTTACAGGTTGGGTCTTTTATCCACCTTCACAACATGAATGTGAAATGTTTATCTTATTGGTAGAAGTTTCAAAACACCTTTACACTAATTATTTGTTTTATCAAAAACAGTCGGAACTTGATAAGTGTTCTCCAACCAACAGAATGCGCTTAATAAAAGATGGAGATATCCAAAGGCTAGTTAAGCAAGATACACAACTGAGCACAAACTCAAGCCAGGATATATATTCAACTAAACACTCTGATTAAGTGTCTAAAATGCTAAGACGAATGAGTCAACACCATAAAAAGATAGAATAAAATAAATCAAATAAAATACTGAAAAGAGCAATTCTTCGTGAGCTCATTTAAATTAAACAACTTGGTCTTAGAAAATAAATACATGAAAGTAAAGCGTGAAATCAGGGCCAAGGTAAACCAATTGAAGTTTTGTAAACTGATATGAAAGTCCTTTTCAAGCCATGTACAAGAAAACATAGAAAACGTTTGCTTGATCCTCCGGTTTCTTCGACCGTGAGTGATTGAAATATGAAAACATTTCAGATTAGTCAGATTTTGCCAAATATCTACATCTGCCTCACATTGCAATATAGAAATAAACCTGAACCCAAAGACTCTAAAAATAATCTAACCAAATTAGTTACTTATTTGTTTGGTGATCTTCGGGCATGAACTAATTTGTTACAGTAGCCGAGATTGATTATCTGCTTTAACCCTCGGATCATGATATATAAAAGAATATCTGGGTCCGAAACACTGACGTCATTTCACATATTCCTAATTTTTAGACTGAAGTCTAGGATGTATTTTGAAAAATAATATCCTGGAAACATGTCTGGATACCTTGTTGTTGAACACAAAAACATGGATCAGTTTGCCTGCACACCACCTACTGCTCTTAGTGAACCACATTCAGGTTAGGCTGCGTTTAACCAAGTGGTCACCTTAAAGTTGGCATTGCAACATACTGAGGCTGGATCCCTACATAGAAACCTGTTCAGTCATCACAATTTTTCACCACCGACAGCTTTTTTGGTTGCGTTCTGAACTTATTATGACTTTTTCAAGCACTGTATATCTGCTTCTAACACTTGTTCAAGACAGATGGACATCTTACTGATTTCAAGCTTGAAATTTGCAAGACCTAGCTCACTTACTAATTATGTCGCATTATTGGAGACTGAAGACACCTCGAGCCATAATTGGAAAAATATAGTCCTTTTTGAGCCCAATTGGATGAAAACCCTAACTAACTCATTAACCGTCCAAAAAAAATTCATGTGAGTTTCTTCTTGTATATTTTCTACCAAAGGTTCAATTTCGTCAGTTGGCGTCTTGCACATAACTATTGCGTTCTCTAATTGTTCTGTCTAGTATTCTACGATCACTATTCATATATATTTCTATCTTTCCAAAAACCTTTATTTTGTTTAAAAACTTATAATATTAAAGATCCCCATTGTGAAAATAAGAACAACACATGTAAGCGAACAATTGTTTTCAATTAGATCGTAATCAGCCTTTACTCCAATATACATGAATATTTATACGAAAATGTTAGACCAATCAAGGCTATTTGAGTCAATAATCACAATGAAATAGAATACATTACCAAGCATAATAGTTAAAAATACAAGTTGATAGTGGGAAGACAGGTTTACTGATAGTAGTGAGAATATTAAATTACGATAACAAAAGTCTTATCAATAGTTAAACATAAGAAATAAGAGGTCAAACGTGGGTAAATAGACTAGAGTAGTAATCACAAAACATTAAAATCATTACGTAATAAGAAGTATAAGTAAATAGATAGTGAAGAATACAAACGGAAAGAGGTAGAAAATTACAAACAAATGATAACAAAATTAAGATGATAAAAATAAATTTTACAAATAATAATAATAATGTCATTTGTTAAGTTATGTCCGGCCATGGAAGGGATAGGGGGGTTATGAATTTCTTCTGTACACATAAATTAGGGTGGAATGTACGAATTCCTATGGCTTCTGCTATATGAAGAAGACGGGAGTGAACTCCGTTGGGAAATGATGGAGATATATGATAGATCACTTGAAATGGTTTCAATTCATCTACAATATGACCACTATCAATTAGATGTGCCAAGATAGAACTGCGTATTGTTTTTATTTGGCCCTTCACAAACCATGCTGGTAAATGTTCATTCATTCGTTGGTTAAGTTGCCTAGTAGCACGCACGATATAGCTATCTTCACAGGAGCAGCTGAACTTATAAATGAACATGGTGCACACATGTGTACAGA